CTCCTTAGAGAAAATGCTTTATTGAACGAAAAATACAATGAATGACACCGACCGACTCCCTGAAATAAAAAAGTCCCAGCTCCCATGCACTCGTCCGCTCCCGATGAACTGCCGCTGCTAAATGACTGATTTGACAGCTCCTGCCTGTATGTAAACAAATGGGCGGTGCTAGTCCAGTGATGTCACGGGACTTGCACTGCCCATTTGTTTTCATGCCATCAAACTCACTGACCTGAAAAGGCATGAAGACAAATGGGCAGTGCGAGTCCCGTGAGGTCATGTGACTTGCTCCTCCTCTTTGTTTACATACAGGTCCTTTATGAATGGGGGTACCTAGATGCAGATGGGCCCCCCTGCCCGCAGAGCCCCACGACCACCAGGCCAGGTTTGTGGGGAAGAGACCCTTGTCCTCATCAGCATAGGGACAAGGTGCCTTTCCAGGAGGTCCCCCCCTAGAAAAGCACCCTCCCAATGCCTAGGGCATGTGGCCTGGTATGGTGCAGAAAAGGGGGGGTGCTCGCTCACCCCCGCCTTTTCTGCCCTGCCAGGCCAATGCTTGGATTAAGGGTCTGGTTTAAAATTTCAGGGGGGACCCCACTGGGTTTTTTCCCGATTTTTGGGCGTTGGGGTCCCCCTAAAATTCCTACCAGACATAAAGGGTCTGGAATTACTTTTAGGGGAACCCCATGCAGATTCGGTGCAGTGCCATTTTTTCTTAATGGCACCCCAACTTTCCTAGCCACCACATGTGTGTTGTATTGCACCATAGCACATGGTAACCTAATACTATGCGATGTGGTGCCATGCAATTTAAAAAAGGGTCATTAACTTTTCTGAGTGTGATTTAGCAGTGGTAGGCAGCCCATTAAAATGAAAAGGTTTTCTACTGCAGTGCACCCCATATGCACCATGCAGCACCTCTATGATGTTGCATCGCAGAGGTGTAAACAAGGTCTTTCATTTATTGGTTTTCTGTTAATATATTTATCATGTTATACTTTGCTGATAATGTATTTTTCACATTGGTTCAGGACCATGCTTGATTCATCCAACCATGATCTTGTTAGAATTTGTGTATTTATTTTATGATATTTAATAAAAACATGAGTGTATGTTTTATGGTCGGGTTTAACAGTGTGCTGGCTGGCCCTTTTTTTTGGTTCCACATCTTAAAGCTATCATTTTGTTATTTCCACTCAATAGGTTATAATCATAGTGGTTAGCTGAATTTTTTTGAAGTATGAGTCTGGATGTCTTTTCCACTTTACGTGTTTTAGTTAGTGATCTAGGTGGATAAGGAAATTTACAACCTGTTGTATACAGAGTGGAACTGAAATTGAGAATACGTAATTTTGCTGTGTTTGTGATTTTCATATATATTTGTACGCTGTAGGAGGTTGCAATTTTTTCCACTCTCTGGAGTTATTGAGTCAGCAGTATCTGGACCTTGATATAGGAATTCATACCGCTTAACTATTCCTATGCAGCTTGTTTTTTGTCTTTGTGGTTCGTCTGCAGAAGGCTGGTGGTTGTGGTTTCATTCATTTCTCAAGTTTAAAAGAATAGTAAAGTGGGAACATGATACAACATAAGCTTAGTTATCATTTTTCAGTTATAAAGTGTGGAACAAGTAAATCTATTAAGTAATAATCAAAAATCACTGCGCTGTGAATGAGTGACTCGAAATCTAAATAACTAAATAGACCAGCAGCAACTTTGTGTATAAGTGAGTCTATTATGTGGCAAATAAGTTGCGCTCGGTCTAGTTGTGAATGGATGTGAAAGTGCTCTCTCAAAACCCAAAGGGGGGAGATCACCTTCAGATAACAAAATAATCTATTGTTCCTTATTTTTCTCATGCATACTTTCCTTACTGAGTTCAGGTGCTAGTGTAGACACACATATTATGAATATAAACTGTGCTTTTGCTAATATAAGGACACATTTTCATAGTATGTCTGGGGGTGACCCTTTTTTGACTGAGACACAGGCATTCATTATATTTACTGAAGTTACCATTAGCTTTCTAAATAGGGTTGCCACCTTTTCTTCAAGCAAAACCGGAACACAAGAGCACCATGCGGCAATTTTTTTGGGAGAATCTACAGAAGAGAGTGAGGAGAGACAACCACGAAAGAGAGCGAAGGGAGAGAGAAGAGAGCCAGCCAAGAGAGGGACGAGAGACAGTCAAGAGAGAGAGCATGGAGAGACAGCCAGGAGTGAGAGAGGAGCGACAGCCAAGAGGGAGAGATTTAGTTAGGAAGCCCTACACTGACCACCAATTTAACGGAGGTATATACACTGATCACCAATGTAACGTAGGTATTCACACTGACCAGCAATGTTACAGAGGCATACTGCATACACGGACCAGCAATGCAACAGATGTATTTTCACTGACCAGGAATGAAACAGAAGAATTCTAACTGGCTAGCAATGTAACGGAAATGTAAAGCAGCCAGGGGTCTCATTGAAAGAGCTATACAATATGTCTGTTAACCACAGAGGCTAATAGCCACACACACTGACAGATAAAGGAGATACAAGAAGAAGAACAGCTAAAATGCCTCTGCTGCACTGAGATACTGCAGAATGCTGGACTGTACCACCTTCTACAATGGGGGTGAGGAGGTGCAGAATTTGCATATCAATTAATTGTGATATTTACATATGAATAAGTCATGGGTTATTCATATGTAAATAACACTAACCATGCATATGTAAATATCATAGTCAAGCCTATTTTCAGTGGGGGGCCAGTAGCACTCAAAACCCGGACTGCCCGAGTGAATCCTGGACAGGTGACAACCCTATTTCTAATAGGATGTTATAGTCAACTGATCTGGTAACGTCAGTATATTTGCTCAGTTGCCTTGGTATGGCTAAACATTTTTTATTATGCTAGCTACATACTAAATGTTCCAGACCGGTGTATCATATTTAGCCCCTTGTATTCCTTCAGCACGGCATATAAATTGAATGTTTTGGAACCTAGCAGGGCCCCTTTGCCAGGCAAATTTTGCCTGACCTAGTGGCCCCTCAAGTTCCAAAAGTTGTATTTAGATGTCATGTTCAAGGAATACCAATAAAGATGATATTCTGAAGCAGAATGGTGTGCAAACAACATATCTTCTCAACTGTGGCACCATCCACCAGTTGTTCAAGCACTCGCTGAATTCTGGGGTACATCAGTATGATGTGCAAATTAGATATCACTCAGACAGACCAGAGTATGGCACACCTATATTCCTAACTTTAAGGCCATCTCTTTCAGAGTGATAAACACACATTTCCAAGGCAACTTGCCATGTAAAATGTCTTAAAAACAATTAATTCCCTCTTTTTTAAGACAAACTCTGGGCAGAAGAAAACATAACCCTTGCAGTGAGGCTACCCCTGCACTTTAAGGGTTAAGTGCTTGTTTTTGTCTAGGGTCTAAAATACTGTAAAATACTCACCTGAACCTCAGACCCGCCTGGCTGCTAGACAAGTCCCTGCAGCCTCTCTCCCCCATTGTTCCAGTGGTCTAAGAACACATATGTCATCACGTCTAATCCAGTGTATTGGACGTGAGGACACCAAGGGACATTCTATCGCCGGAGTGAAGGTGGAGAGAGGCTGCAGGGACTGGGCTAGCAGCCAGGTGGTTCTGAGGTCTGGATGAGTATTTCTTTGTTATTTTAGACCCTAAACAAAAATGAGCACTTAACCCTTGAAGTGCGGTGGTAGCCCAACTGCAAGGGTTACGTTTTCTTCTGCCCAGAGTTCTTCTTTAATGGTAAATTCAGCTAGAAATTGGATTTCTCTTGCACCCTACTAGATAGTGCTGGAGGGGGTTGGCAGGTACTGAGTAGGGATTTGACAATATTTCACTATGGTCCCGCAGACAGAGTGGTCAGTATAACAGGCTGTGGGTAGTCATGGCTATTCATTGGTAGGGTTATTAACATGGCCCAAATCTAAGAAGCTAAAGCATCAGCAATGGTGACAACACCGCAGTGATGTCATTGCAGGAATAAAGAGCATTGCCACCATATCATAGGAAGTGCTTATGTAATGGGACTACAGGCAGGATCAACAGGCAAACAAAATGTCCCATAGAGTCTGGTCTTACTGGTATCGGTAGCCTATACCACCTATGTGATTTTATAAATACTCTATAGTCTTAAAGAAGACTGCCATAGTCAGACTAATACCAGGAATATATACACAAATACTAACTTTTACATACTGTACATAAATAATATGTATGTCTTTAATTGCTTATCCTTTTATGATGTTTTCTTGTTTCCTCCTCCTGACAAGCATGTAACTGTGACGTGGTGTTTAGGGGAAAGACACCTGAAAACCTCCTACTTTATATAGAAATTTTCACTTACGGCAGAAGCTCACATGTGCAGCTGCACAGAAGTCACACCGCTGCCTGTAGTCTATTTTGATCTTTACTGTAAATCAACACAAGAAACTCTTTGGGTTTTGATTTTGTTTCCTAATGGAGTTGGAAATTCGGAAAATGTATGCTGCATATATATTGTAGAAGTCTGCTGCAGAATGGGATGTCCAAGTGATGTAACCAAAAATCTCCAAAGACTTGCGAGGACAAAATCAGTATTGTATTACCCAGAATAACTAAAATGTCAACGTTGAAAGGCTTCTGTTTATTTCTGTGTTAATAATCCTTGGGACAGATGTTGTCTGCCTGCTTGAATGCGATTCAACTTCTGTAACAAATAACAAGGGGTCATTATGTGCTTTCAAAGTAAAGTGTGAAGACAACCACATCGCAAGTCAAGGGGGACCACAAACCACAGAGACCACCCATTCCACAAGCCTCAAACGCCACTTCTCTGTGTTAAGTTTTTATTTATAATTGGCAAGAAGGACTTTTGTCAGTTATTTTTTGTTTTTACAACATTAAAGACAGGTGCTGCTTCGGAGCCAAGTTCGCACTATTCACGCTGAATAAGAAAAGGGGAAGCAAGACTCCCCCGCTCTGTTTGATGTCAATGGAGCGTTTGTGTCTTATCATCTGCAGCATCTGTGTCATCGCTGTACCAAGTCGTACCCATGGTAAGAATCTGGGTTTATACTCTACACACTATCTATCTTTCTTATTACATATCACCATACATTTATAAATATAGAACTTAGTGGAAAATCTCAAACAGGAAAATAACTGTCAACTAGCATAATCTAAACATAGAAAAATGTAATCCACATTGAAAAATGAAAAGGTGTATGTACATATTTGAATTTCAGAGGATGAATGTTGCAATAATGAAAATATTATTCTTACTTTGACTATTAAAGCGGGGGTAGCCCTACTGCAAGGGTTAAACATATATTCAGCCAGAGTTCTGCTTTAAACAAAATTGGGCTCTTATATTTGAGGTATAGATTCTACTGACAGTTCAGTTAAGGGCTAAATGACACGGGCAATTTTAATTTCAAGAATATAGATCTTGACTGAGACAGTTAGAGTTGCTCATTAACATTTGGGAATACTTAACAATTTGTTGTTAAGTAGTGTCTATCCTTTGATTTTTCATGGAAAACAAAGAAGGATCCTAAGTACCATATATCTGTAAAAAATAAGTCAAGGCAACTGGACTTGCTGTATTTTTCTTGAAGACGTGTCACTGGACACCCGACCAGCTTTTTCAATTCATTCTGAATCGAGAAAAATACAGCAAGTCCAGTTGCCTTGACTTATTTTTTTTACAGATATACCATGGCCTGGATGAATGAGGACCTTCACAGACTAAGTACCATATGTTTAGCTTTTACAGGGCCTGCTGAGCATTATGGTGGATCGTAGCGCTAAAGGAGTAGAGAATATACACTTTGCAAAGTAAATGTTCCATTAGCTTAAAGTGACACTAAACTCAGGAGTTAAATCTTAAAAATGCATTCAAGTACCTTAACTATTAACACAAATGTACGTCATTTGTTTATCACTCAGCCATAGATGCTCAAATCATCTCTGAATTCATGCTGACACTGTCCTTCCTTCTGGAGGGTGGCTACTTTACAACACACACAAGGGACCATGGGGAACAAAAGTAGCCACCCTCCAGAAGAAAGGACAGTGTCAGCATGAATTCAGATATAGAGCTGAGTGATACACAAATAGGATACATTTTTGTTATTAGTTAGGGTACTTGAATGCATTTTTAAGGTTTAACTAACTCCTTAGTTTACTGTCCCTTTAATGAATAAGGTAACAATTGCAATCACTTTGCTAGGCTAAGTGAACATTTGACCGCTTTAGTAAATTAACCCCATAAAATATATATGCTGCAAATGAAATTACTTCCAACATGCTATTAAGCTGTAAATAGTAGTTAATTCTCTGATTTCATAGCCATATTATAGCACAATAAACCAAATGTAGTAAATGATAAATACACTGAATCTATTTTTATGATGCCAATGCCATTTAACTAGAAGTGAAAAAATGATTTAAATAATAAAAAGCAGTACAGAATCCGGGGTTTGCAGTATTTTGTTGCTTGGACTATATAGATAATTATGCAAATGTACTTCAAGTGTGAATTCATTTTTAGATTGCAATTAATTAGCACATGTTTCTTTTAAACCCCTAAAAATTAAGCCATAGTTCCATATGTGTGCTTTTAATTTAAAATAAGCAGAGCTTTGGAAACGTTTGTCATTAGTGTTACTATGAAAAACTTTTCCAAAGCTCTGCTTATCTGATACTATTAGAAAAAAATAATTTGAATTGAAGTTTGGTGGCACATTTGTTTTACTGTAAATAGCATGTCCTTTTCAGGGCAAAATGTAGGCTAATGCTAGTTTGGCTGCTGTACCTTAACCAGTAACAAAAATGTATCTTATTTGTGTATCATTTGGCGGTAGATCCTCAAATCATCTCTGAATTCAAAATGAATCTCTGAAATCCTTCTGGAGGGTGGCTACTTTTGTTCTCCATGGTCCCTGTGTGTGTTGTAAAGTAGTCACCGCTCCAAGTTCACTCCTGTGATTGACTATAATTGCAATACAAATTACTAAATTAAACATAAGAATGTAGTCCATCACGGGAGCTAGCTTGGAACAGTGGCTACTTTACAGCACACACAGAGACCATGGAGAACAAATGTAGTCACCCTCCAGAAGGAAGGACAGTGTCAGCACCAATTCAGAGATGATTTGAGGATCTACAGCTGAGTGATACACAAATAAGATATATTTCTGTTAATAGTTAAGGTACTTGAATGGATTTTTAAGACTGATCTCCTACGTTTAGTGTCACTTTAAGTGATAGAATCCTAGAGTCACCTTTTTTTGATAGAGTGTACCCCTTTTAAATATCTGCATCCAAGGTTCTTTAATAGTAAGTTCCCAGAGAGAACTTACTATTGTAATGTATGTAAAGATAAAACCCGACCATATTTGCAAATTATTTCAGCAACAAGCATACCATTGTATAACTAAGCTAACAGTACCCACTGCTCAGATAGATCTAGAAATATAAAAAACTTGGGGTTCTACTTTAATAAAAAAAAAAAACTAGGCAGCAGATTAAAGTGAATCTAAAGCCATTTTTTTTTTCGTTTTGGATAGTGTAGGGAATGGTTAAAAAAAAAAATGGTTAGTTTTTGTTTTCTGTTGTCTCTTGTTGGAGAGATTGTCTTTCACTTCCTATCCTGGAGACAGAACAGGAAGTGAGAAGAAATCTCTCTAATGTGAGGGGAAATTCCATCTTAAATTGTAGTCATTGGAGCAGATGTACCCATAAAGAGTTTCCCTCACCTCATGTTTCGTTGAAACTGTAACATTTAGGACTTTCCATTATTTTCTATCCTGGTGACAGTGGTTACTAGGACAAGGAGAGGGGGGCTAAAACTTTCCAGCAGGGGGTAATAAATATCTCACAGAGGTTCCAAGCCTATTCTGTATATAAAAAGTTTGGTTTCAAGGAAACAACAAGACAGAGCAAAAGGATAGCTACTTTTCTGTGTGGTGAATATAGCTCAGACACTATCAGTGTATCTCAGCCTTGCTCAACCAGGACGTCATAGCACCCTGGGGTTCCTTCTGGCTTTCTCTGGTATGCCTCAACATTTTTTTCCCATGGTGCAGGAAGCCTGCCCACTAGTACCATGGAAACTAATGGCACTAAGCCATGGAGGGTAGATTCCATTCAGAGATGGATTCATTGCATGGGGTCCCCCCTTAATATCCATACCAGACCCCTATCAAGGATAAGGGTCTGGTATAGATTTTGGAGGGGCCAAACGTTGCTTTTTCCATTTATGTTTTATTACATTTTAGACCTGGGTGCCTCGAGATTTTGCATACTTTTAAAGGGTGCCGTGACTTAAAAAAGATTGAGAAACACTGCTGTGTCTCCATTAAGGAATTTGTGCACTTATTGTATAAAATATGTTTGATACTTTACACATGCTCTAGTCCCCCCAATTGTGAGCCTTACTACTGGTTTCCTAGCTGGTCTTTAGACATGATGCCTGCTATAAAAACATCACAATTTTGTAGACAGCTCTGTTGCAATGCATTATTATAGTTTTAATATAATTAAACATTTGTATTTTTTTCTTCAGAAAATAATACATTGCTCTTGCATTCTCCACCCGATCTCCATGTCTGGCTGGGAGGAATTGCTATATTCACCTGCAACCTAACAGCGCTGAACTTCACTCCTAAAGATGTTAACTGGTATAAGGGAAACCGTACCCAATCAACAAAAATCGCAGATGTAAAGTATGCTGATAGTAACAGACTCAACATCACTAAAGATTGGGAGCAGAAAATAGCTGTACTGCACATACAAAATGTAACACTGAATGACAGCGGACAATATTATTGTGGGCATGTAAATGTCGAAGGAAATGGTCAAATCTTTATCAGCAACACATCTGATCTGACTGTGAATAGTAAGTATGCAGCAAGAGTTGTCAACCTGTTTGTTTGACTATTTGTTATATTTGCATAACTATTTAAAATGAGTAAAGTATGTGTTGGCTCTGCCAGATAATGTTTTATATACAGTTGGGTTAAGGAGGAAGGACATGGGGGAAAAAAATAAAAAAACTGAGACAAGCAAAGTCTCTTATACCAAAAAAATTCTACCTCTCTCTCCTCGAGAATTTTTTATTTCTTATGTTCACTGTGTGTGGCATCCGTAAGATGCTATGAATGGGCCGGGTGCGGTGGAGGATGTAACTCCTGTGCACATGTGCAGAGGTTATATCTTCAGTGGCCGCCTAGTGGCTGAAGAGGACTTCTGAGAACCCAGAAGTGTCAGCAGCAGAGATGGCGGCAGTGGGGGACAGTTCTGAGGACCGAAGATCGATCCAACAGTGCTGGAGAAGGGTACTCTTTTACTCTTTTAAAGTGATATTAAAGTCAAATGTTTTTAAAGCTTTTTCAAATGCTGATATAATTACTTACAATGGATGCTGCTCCTTGATGCTTAAAAGTTTTAGTTCCCTGCATAATCAGCTGTTCGTCTGAGCACTGGCCCTGACAATTTTTCAGGGTGGCTCCTTTCCCATGCAGGGTCCAATGGAGCCACCATTGTGTATGCTAGTAAGCTGTATGTGTCTCTACAAACAGAAAGGCACAGCAAGGCAAGGTACTCCCCTTCTCCCAGCTCCTCCTCCCTTATCTCTTCTGCTTCCTCCAGCTAGTAGATGCTGGAGACTGTGCTCTGTGCCTTGTGAACTTGTACTGGGCAGGAAGTTCAGGGAAGCCAAGCTAAGAGAGTTTGAGTTGGCTGTTCAGAAATATGATGATTGTAAGTGCTTGTGCAAAATTTTAAATACAGACTTTGTATATGTATATTTGTTTGATCTGTATTCAAGTCTGAGAGTTTAATACTACTTTAAGGTAAGTGTGCCCTAATGTGCAAGTATGCTCTACATACATGCACATTAGGGCAAATGCAGAAAAAACTTCAAAGCAGTTTATTCCACTTTAAGTGGTAAATTCTACTATTTAATATTTCCCCTTACCCCGATCTGGTCTTTAGAGCAAACAGGAGATCGGTTTACATTTTTTCACATTAAGGATGCACTCATATTTCCTGGAAATTTACAGAAAGGCTCTTTCACTTTGCTATAAATAAGGCCTGGTTCATGACCGCCAAGCAATCTGCCGCATTTTTGAATCTTTGGAAAATGAAACATGCAAACTGAATGTTGCCATGATGCACAATTCCACTTTGTTAACCTCAAACTTTCCTAAATCATTTCTATAGTAATTATTGCTTATATCATTAAATACAATGAACAGAGCGGATCCGGGAAATGTGTTTTTAAACCCCACTGTGACCAAATTGTTTTTGTTTTTTTTATTTGTGTATAATGTGAGGAGGTTTCAGAACATCAGTCAAGTTTCTTTTTCTGTCTATGACTATGTTGGAAATACTTCCCCTCACTTTCCAACTTTGTAAAGCAAGGACAAGACATTGGGACAAAAACTCTTTTTATGTAACCATGTAACACACACCAACAGCAATAAAAAAAAAAACCTGACAGGAGTTCTAAAGCTTCCATGCTTTACTAAAAAGAGTTGTTATTGTTGACCCATCACTTTCTGTTCCTGTGACACTCTGTTCGTAGGACAGGAAGGAGAGAGAAAAATCTCTCCAATGGCAGCACCCTACAATAATTGCTAACTCTTAAAGTGACACTAAACTCAGGAGTGAAATCTTAAAAATGCATTCAGGTACCTAAACTTTAACAAAAATGTATCTTATTTGTGTATCACTATATCACCTTCATTCTGGAGGGTGGCTACTTTTGTTCCCTGGCCCCTGAGTGTGTTGTAAAGTAGCCGCTGCTCCAAACTCACGTTTAGTTTATTAATTGCTATTAAAATTAGACCCCCTTTAGATGGGCTTTCTGAACAGGTCCATCTGACAGTTTTTTTTTTAGGTGGACCTGATAGGAAGCCAGATGTTAGTCTATTGACAACCAGATCTAAACGGACAGACATCCATTTACATCCAGGTACCCCTGGCTCTGGCCAGGTCTGGAAAAAGAAACAGATCAAAGATTAATTTCGCTAGACCTAATCATGATCGAGGCTCTAAACAGATGCCCATCCATTTAGATTCGGCTGCTCATACACTAACATAAGTCCGGTTAAGTCAGTTTTTAACTCCATCACAAGATGGAGAAAAAAACTGCACGGACAAGGATATCACAATATGACACCCATTCCTATCAGGAGGGCATCCGTATATGATCCCCTCCTGATTGGACCGTATGAACTGGGCCTTATAGACCATCACTGGAGTGATCTTGGAGCGTTGGCTACTGTACAAAACACACAGGGACCATGGAGAACAAAATTAGCCACCCTACAGTAGAAAAGACAGTGTCAGCAGCAATTCAGAGATGATTTGAGGATCTACAGCCGAGTGATACACAAATAAGATATATTTTTGTTATAGTCAAGGTACTTTAATGCATTTTTAAGATTTAATTCCTGAGTTTAATGTTACTTTATGTCTTGTTCTTGAAAAATATAACTTTTGAATGTAAAGAGCTGTGTCACTGAGCTAGTTCTGCATGAAACATAAAATATTCCTCTGCAACAGACTCATAATTAGTCATCTCTGGGATTTCAGTATTCTGTCTGCTGCTATTTTTACAACTTTCTTTGTTTGAGGTGGATGTCCTTGTTATTTGTATCATGTGTTTTGTTCCATTGTTTATTTAAAATATACACTTTTATTATCAAAGTGTTAAGAGATCACATTTTCTACAGGACTCGACCAAGTAATAGGAAACTATTAGCAAACAAAAAAAACCCTAAGAAAATGGAAACTTTTGTTATGGTTAATTGGTTCTAGTAATACCAAAGCATCACTAAAAGGCACATGGGTGTGCAGCAAAAATTAAACTTGGGCCCTCAAATGTCTCATATTGCAGTTTTGCCCTCCGATTCTTATAGTTCCACCCTAAGGCCTGGTTCACACCTGGGCATTTTACAGCGCGTTCCTACGCGCTGTTAAACGCTCAACATGTGAAAACCAATAATTGCCTATGGGCATGGTTCCCATCTGGACATTTTACAGCGCGTAGGAACGCGCTGAAAACGCCCTACGCCCAAAGAAGTACAGGAGCTTCTTTGGGGCGTATTTGCCGCTCGTATCCATTAGGATACAGCCGGATAGCCCTCGGAAACGCGTGTTTGTCGCGCGTTTCTTTTACCGCAAATTGCTACAAACGCGCATATTCCGTACGCCCAGGTGTGAACCCAGCCTAAAGCAAATTTCTCAAGCCTGTCCTAAAGTTTCATGAACAGATCAGGGATATCCTCACACTTAGGGGGTGATTTATAAGTGGTTGGCTTATATCAAACAACTATGTGAAGGAGCTTCACAGCACATTATAGCCACTAGATAGAGCCGAGGCGCATAGACATTTCCTGTAATTCTCAGCTCTATTTAGTGGCCATTATGTGCTGCAAATCTCATTCGATATGTGAACAGCTTACAAATTGCTCACTTAAAGTATATGTAAAGCCAAACACTGTTTGTTTGTTTTTTTGCTGCTTGTGTCCTTTTTTTTTTGCTGCCTCTGTGTAGGAGAGATTTCACTTTACTTACGGTCCTGAAAATGCAACAGGAAATTAGAGAAAAGCTCTCTAAAGCTAATAGAATTTTCCATTTTAGAGAGGTGTCATAGGAACATGTTTCTGTGTTAAGGGATTTTTCCTCACTTCTTGCTTTGGTGACAACTGGAATTTGGAATTTTCGTTACTTTTTGTCTCAGTGGCAATGGTCTCAAGGACAAACAGAGGGGTGAAGCAAGCACAATAAAAACGTGACAGTGATCTAACCCTTCCCTACTGTTTTAAATCTAAAAAAGAAAATGTCTTTGCAAACCGTTCGACTAAATCACATTGCTGAGACATTGCTGTGCATGTGAGCTTCCATGCAATAGATACACAGCTGGCGGGACTGGAGACAGCTTTTGTTGGACTCTGCCCTAAATGAGAAGTAATGTAATGTAAATAAAGTGATTAGCAGATAAGATCCCAGTGGTGTTCAATTATTTTCTTATATTCAGTTGTACCGTGAATTCATTTGTAGGCAGTAGCTCAGCAAGGTGAATGTTTATTTAGCTTAAAGGATATTTATGGTCAAAAAATATGTATTTCTATATAATTCTCATAATTTCTATCCCACTCCATATCAGTCTTGAGGTTTGTAAACTTACTTATTGAAGATGCCCATCGGATGTATTTCAAAGCATAACATTTTCACAATGTAACATTATCATTGCTTGCTGGTAGCAATGCATTATGGAGTATGTAGTCTTGAGAAATCAAGCAGCAAGGAAAGAAATGGAAAGCACACTGGGAATGCAGGAAGTTGGTGAAAGTGGCTTACTAAGGGAAGGAGACACCCTAAAACAGGATATCAGGGCCAGTGCTCAAGGGACTAAAACTTTTAAACATCAAAGAGCAGCATCCATTGCAAGTGATTTAATCAGCAATAGCTTAAAATCCTTTGAACTTTAATTTCCCTTTAACAATAGTTATTTCTTCAAAGGAGCAGATCATTTTTTAGGCTGTGAATGTGCATACGTTTGGAATATTCCAGTTTCTCAATAGTACAGAAACATCTCCGTGATTATCTTGAAATAAATATATGCTGTTTGTATTTTTAGATGTCTCTTATTCAGCTACAACAGGTCCTGACCAAACTAAGAAAGGACCAACAGACAATAATGCCATGGCCTCACGACAAAGGGCTACTATAGCTACGTCCATTCTTCTGGTTCTTCTCCTACTGCTTCTCATTGGAATCACCACTTTTATTGTGTGGTATAGACAACGTATGTACTGGCAATGATGTGTATTTTATACTGTACATAATATTTTTTTTGTGACATAACATGACGTGTGCAGCAGGTTTTGTGCTGGCATATACAGCAATATAATTGTGTAGAAAAAAATTGTTTAGAAATTGTATTGAAATGTCATCAATGTATATATTATATTGGTTTTCTAGCAACATAGTTAGCCGATGTAGCAATGGCTATCTTACACATCTTGACTGGGGCCCAGAACAAAGTTCAATTCAGTAATGCATGTATTTTTTTCACTGCTCAAATTATACTTTGACAACTAAAGAAGACATATACAGTATATGTTTTATAAAATATGTGCAAAATGCCCCATAATAGAGTGGTCAGCTGCTGGTGGTGTGGGCTGTGAGAGTGAGCTAAGAACATAGAGCAGATTGGAAGGTACATAAAATGTATCTTGTAGTACTGTGTCAATGCATGTGATTGCAACAAAGATGTCTACATTGCACTCCCCTGATACTTAAAGGAGAACTATGGGGTTAAGTCTTTTCCCCATAGTTCTCCTTAGGGTAACGGGAGGACACAAACATGTTATATGTTCGCTCACCTCCCGATTTACTGAGCCGACCTGTGACAGTCTCATTGTCACAGGTCGGCTAGAACTATGAGGTGAGTGAAAAGCACTCACCTCATAGTTCTCCTTTAAAGCTAAACTCTAGGAATAATCTACTTCTAACATTTACATTGGTCCAGCTTGCTTACCTGTAATTATGTCTGGAGGGCTGCAGGGCTTGTTCACACCAAGCGCAGAGCAGGTGCAGAGCAGAGCAGTTACAGAACGCATCAAAAATGCATCCAATTGTATTTTGGGCTCTAGTTTACACCACAGCGTTCAGTTCCAGAGCATGTGGAAAAACTGCAGCATGTCCTATCTTTTGTGCTATGGAACACACCAAAATGCATGCAAATGCATCAAAACGCATGCAAATGCCCTGGAATGCACTGGACTACACCTCAAAGCCCATTTTAGGCAAAAACAAACAAACCGGAATGCGTCAAAAACGCATCAAAATGCCCTGCACATATGCAGAAACTCATGCAGAGCTGGTCCAGATTCGGTGTGAACAAACCCTCAAAACTAATGTTGGGCTCGATGTTCGAGTCGACAAAGAGTTCGACTCGAACATCGCTAGTTTGTGTGTTCCGCGAACACACAAACTATCAGGGTGTTCGGCAGGCTGTTCGCCCCCGCCGAGCACCCCACAAGGCGCTGCGCACAGCCTTCCATAGTTTGTGATTGTGAGCTCCAATAAAGGGAAAATGGAGCTATCTTGATAAAGGACCTGTTAGTGTCTGGAGTTTAGCTTTTTATTTCTGATGGTAATAAAATCTATTTTAAGATCTATTTTAAGCTTCTAAATGTGTCACTTGTCCAGCTCACTATTGTATTGGATGGATTGTGACCTTAAGGCTCCATTTACACCTAGGCAACAGCGTTTTTGCTCTTTTCTACGCACGTTTTCCTGCATGTTATTGCGCGTTTTTACACGCGGAATATGCGCATGTATTAGGATGCGCATTTTTGCAAGCAGGTTGTGACGGATTGATATAAATTGGCAAACGCGCATAAAACATGTGTAGAAAATGAAGTCTATGGGGCTAAGAAGTGCCTAATATTTTTCCAGTGACGGGTATTTTGCTACAAGCGACAAAACACTCAGATGTGAAAACGGCCATAGAAAGGAATGGGATTTAGTTTTAGGTGGGTTTTTTTTTTGCGTTTATTTAGGGCAGAAAAAGCTCTACAAAACGTTGGGTATGATAGGAGCCTCAGTGTGTTATTATGGGTGTAGCCTTTACACAGGGCACCAGAGCATCTTGGAAGTATCTGATCCACTAACATCATTAGTTAGAAAATATTTTTACTGCTAACAAGTTGTGTTAGGAATATCAGTGAATGTAGTTATTGATCAGGAAATATAGAGGAATATAAGAGGAATTTAGATATGTCCATGCCCTATAGAATTTTAAACAGACAAATAGTTTATTCGTATTCGCAACCATATTCATTTTATGTGGCTTTTCTTTAATGTTTAGGAAACAAGATGCCGCATCCTCAACTAAGACATCTGGTAAGAATTTTATATACATTTTCATATAACCTACTGCTTTTTCAGAAACTCTGAAAAATTGTTACAAACACAGTATAACCTTTGAGGAATGGTAGCCTTAGAGGGTTATTCACACAGCTGCCGAAGGCAGCCGTGTGAATAACCGACCAGAAGTGACGCTGTTCGGCTATTCACTTCAGGCTTGTACGGCTGATTTCAGCCGTACATTGGCTGAAATCAGCTTGCTTTGGCTGGCTTCAGGTTGGCCGAACATGTTCAGCATGTTCGGCCGACCCGAAGGGCAGAAGGAGTTCGACTTAGCCGTCTCAGCTCTTAGAATGAGAGCTGAGAGCTTACAGTTCCACTTAGCTCTTACAAAGAGAGCTCAGCAGAGCCAGCAGTGATATCACCGCGGGCTCTGCTGAGTTCTCATTGTAATGACAGCAGGTCCAGGCCAATAAAAAACAGTTGGGCGGAGCTAGCTGTCACTGCTAGCTCTGCCCAATCATTTTCTACTTTTTTCCCCTACTTTTTTTTTTTTTTTTAACAGTTTTTCTATTCGGCTTGGTACCACAAAGGTATAGAATTAAATCTCAGTAGATGCTGATAGCCCCACTGCAAGGGTTATTTTTTTTTTAAATCCTGGAGTTCTTGTTTAAACAGTTAGTATACTGTATACTGTATGTATATGTGTCTATGTGTCTATATGTGCCCCCATGTTTATTTCCTGTAATTCCCTGCTCAGCAGAATGGGAGGTTCAGCACTATCAGTTATACCTCCTTGCTATGTGTAGGCTTCTTGATTGTTCAGCAAGCAGAATGATGGCATGATGGTGACCAAGATGATTTAACTGCAGTAGAGTCGCTCACATTGCTGCGCTGTCCAGCAGGGTTACCTGAATCATGATACTGACTATAGAATCTTTCATAAGGTTAAACATTTCCAATATACTGTATATTAACTTGGGGTCTAATTGCTATTTATATTGTTAAAACTATTTTGTTATTATGCAGTTTGCTACATCTTTTTCTACGGAAAATATACACAAACAAAAGACAACATATACTATTATAGGCAGTTACACAGCGGTTTAATATTCATGTGCAACAACTGATCATTTAGCATGTTAGGTACATTACTTACTGTACAGTATTTTGAGTGCATATTAGGTTTATGAATAGGAGTTAGGAATATGTTTCTTTTCTATATACTATAGCGTTGAATTAAGTCATTATTTCCTTGTATTGTTGCAGGAAAAACCACCCCAGGATGCTAATGTGTACACCGTTGACTATGGTGTGTTAGATTTTGGGAATAATCAACCCTCCAGGAAATCAGCAGAAATATCCATACAGGAGCAAGTGGAATATGCTACAATCATGTTCCCATAAGGGACACTGGATGTGGGAGAGTGCAGGGCAAATGCTGTCTGCCATTATTATTAAAGACTGAGATAAATGTGCTGTGAATCCCTTTGTCAGAATGTGACATGGACTAATCTGGAAACAAGCTCACACTGTGCAAAGATCTTTTAAGACCAGTTAATTATATTGAATGGATTAAAAAGCTTTTTGAGAGAGGATAAGTGGATTGTAACCAAACTGTATTAGCAAATGATGAGAATTCATGATATAACACATCTCCTAACTGATCTGGTTTTTAAGAGCACAGTCTTTTAGGCGGTGGGGAGGGGTTTATTAAAAAGGGGGCGTGCTTCCCAAAATACTGGTGTGGGAGGAACAACCATGGAGGATCAGGCCACCCAAATGATATTTTAGTTTTAGATAGATGATGAGAAATTAAATAACTCTTTGTCTACCTTTATTATTGGTGGAGATCTGTGTACCTACTTTCCCAACTCCATCCACATGCCCTAAATTGCATTTTTAGGGAATCACACATTTATTTGTGGATTATCCAACAACATGTTTGCGACCTTCTATTACAGCAAGTGAAAATTAATGGCTGAGGAACTCTACGGGGAGTTCCAGGATATATAAGAACACCCAAGCCTCAGTGGGCAATTAAAACCACCAACATCCAACCCATATACTCAAATGCTCGTTTTGTATTGTCTTACCCTTTTATTAGGTGCTGAATTTAGATTTGAATGTATTGGGAGGTATTTTAAATGCTTCAAGGAAAATGATAATTTAGTGTATATCATAGTAAACTTCTCGTGGGTATTTGCTATAAACCTCCAAATATAGGGGAAGAGGGAGAAGTCAATCTTCACTCACAGATAGGAATAGCTGGGAGAGAGGGCAATGTAGTCGTGACAGTCATTGAGTTCACATAAAGATTGCTTGTTCCAGAATCAAACCTCATCATATTTATCGTTGGAGAGAACTATAAAGATAATATTATTTACTTGAGAAGGGACATTGGTACATTTTGGGAAAACAACACAGAGCTCTGTGAACTTTCTGTCCATGTCCATGTTTATATTTAAGCTGAACAAGCTTAAGATGTACAAGCAAACAGCTACATATACATAGCAGGACAGGTACGCACAAAATAATTCGTAATATGTGGTTAGGGGATCAGATAGTTTACATATAAGCAGTCCTTACAGCATGAACACTCAGACACAGTTGTTATATTTTTCCTTCTGTTTAGTTACTTTTTTAACGATTCTCACACATTAAAGGAGAATTTTGGGATAAGTGAAAAAAACTCATCCCCAGAACTCAAACCAACCTTTGACATTGAAGCTGTCACAGGTCAGCTCTCTTGATTAGGAAGTCAGTGAACACATATTGCTGATCGCTGACTTCCCAATCCTCTCTCTGCAGAGTAGTGAGAGGGATTCCCCTCATATCTCCAGTGCTGACTGGCAGAGGCAGCTGTCAATCAGCCTGTGGTATAGATCTTGACAGTAGTCACCCCAATACCCAAAAAACCTTCACTGGACCCTACCAACCTCAATAATTTCAGACCTATCTCCTTACTCCCATTCATCTCTAAACTCCTAGAACGCCTCATCTACAACCGCCTGAGTTGCCACCTCGCTAATAACAACCTTTTGGACCCACTTCAGTCCGGCTTTCGCCCCACACTCCACTGAAACCGCCCTCCTAAAACTCACCAATGACCTAATAACCGCTAAAAACAACGGCCACTATTCCTTACTCTTGCTATTAGACCTCTCTGCTGCTTTTGACACTGTTGACCACCCGCTGCTCCTCAAAAAAATCCACTCGCTTGGCCTACAAGACTCTGCTCTCTCGTGGTTCTCATCCTACTTATCTACGCTCTCCTTCAGTGTCACCATTGTCAGGATCCGTCCCGGCTGCTGCACGGCTTTGCACTGCCAGCATAAAGCTGGCAATAGCCTGCTATATACTGAGTTTTGGGGAACCAGAGGACATTAGTATATGTCCTCTTGTGACCCTGAAGAGAACTATGGTCAAAAAAGGTTAGACCATAGTTCTCTTATAACTAAAGCTAAATTGCCTTCAAAATAATGATGGAGAAAGTACAAAACAGTTCTATGTAAGTAGTTGCAGTTTAGTTTATGCATAATCCTTTCTGTATAAAGATGTATGTGTATTTATTAAATATTATTCCCAATAAATTATGGGATAAATAATATGGTCTGCCCTTTTTATGTGTGTATGTATGAAATCAATGTTAGCAAAAGTGCAAAACAAAGAGATGGTTTAAAGAAAAATCTTTTGTAGAGGGGAGGAATACTAGCATTGTTTACAGCTCAAGTCTTATGGGGACTAGGAAGAAAAGGAGCCCTTTAACCTCCTTGGTGGTATTCCAGAGTGTGGCTCGGGGTTATTTTTCAGTACCATAAGCGGTAACCCCAAGCCAGACTCGGGATTACAGCGTAGCGTCTCTTACCTTGTCCACGATCCCCGCTGTGTCCTCCGGCCGATGCCGGCCCTTCCGGGTTCCGCCCCTTGCGAGCGTCTGCGTCGAAGGGGGCGAAACCGGCGGGAATTTTAAAAGTTAAAAAACAAACAAAAACAAACTAAAAATAATAGAACAAAACAAACTAAAAAAAATAGAACAAAAAAGGAAGAAAAATAAAAATAAATAATCAGACCGCCAGGGAGGTCAAGGAAACATGCTTACTTAAACTGGTAACAGTTTTGAATAGATACTGGCAAACCCAATCACCTGCTGGTGCATTTTACCTCTCACGGTTTGCAGTGATCATCATTACAATTATTTATATAGCCCCAAAATATTCTGCAGCGCAGTACAATCATTTAGACAAGACAAGAAAGAATCACTGACACGCATCATTGACATACAGAAACAGTAGGTGAGGAGGATCCTGCCCAAACGAGCTGGCAATCTAAGAGCATAGTTCCTGCATCTGCTTCCTCTGCCATGATCTAAAACATTTCCTACTTCTGCATTCTCCAGAATATAATATAGGGACTCTACATCATACATAAATAAACTATCTCAAAAACTCAATGAAAGTTTTGCCTGGAGTTTCACTTTACCTCCTAAATTACAGTACAGGTGACAGTGGAGGCTTGGTGATGTCATTACCACATGCAATTATGTCACTAGGTTTGTATGATAGCATCATAGTGCTAAAGCCTAATAATTAGAATCCCAATGAGAAAGAGTCTCATATATGCTGCAGCTGCACAGACTGCAGCAGTGGTTAGACATGCACATGGGCCTGCATTAAACACAGGAGAAGTTATCTTGGAAGTACAATAAACTTCCCATTATCCGGCATTCAAGCAACCAGAACTCTCAAGCAACTGCCTCAAGCAATATGTCTTCAATTTTTCTTTTGCAGGTGGCTTGATGCACACACAATAATTGTCAGTTGCTTGGTGCACACTAAAAAAATTAATTAGCAACTATTTATTTAGTTGCTAACAAATGTATTTGTTTACATTTTGCTGCCAGCCAGCGTCTAGATTTCGCAGTTAGCAGCAGAATGTAAACAATGGGGAGCAATAGCCAGCCTGCTATTGGCTATTTCAAATTGCAACAGCCAATAGCAGGCTGGCTATTGTACCCACCCACTGAGCAGAGAAGCTGACCGGAGAGAACTTTCTCTCTTAGGTCCACTCCTCTGCTCAGTGGGCGGGTTTTAATAGTCAGATTGCTATCGTCTATTACAATTTGGAGGAGCGCACCTGTCAGGAAGCCGAGCTTGGGCCTTGTGCTCGGAATCCTGCACGAGCACCTACACATGCGCAAGTGTGTAAGCATAGTTTGGCTCACAAAATTGTGCACCGAAGTGCGCCTCTGCGCAGGCGTGTGCGCGTCTCTAGGCGCGTGCGGACATGCGCATTCAAGTGTTGTGCATTTTCAGGATATTTAAGGCCGTGACATTCTAGCCCCCAGTGCTGACTGGTCTTCAGCTGTTTCCTGTACCTGTATCCTGAACCCAGCATCCTGACCCTGATCTTCTGGTGTTGACCCTGCTTGGCTGACTATTCTGCTGCTCTTCTGAATTCCCTTGACCTCGGCTCATTTTTGACCACGCTCCTGCCTGCTGCTCTGTACTTCGCTGCCTGCAAGTTGCTGATTTGGCCTGTCCCCGACTACGTCTTTTCTACTGTCCTGGTACGTCGCTGCTCGCCTGTTAGAGATCCTGCTTGGACTTCGCTTCTACCGGAACTCATGCCTCTCCTATCCTTCTGTACCTGTTTCACTTCCAGGGGTTCTTGGACTTGAGCTGCAAGGGAGGCCTTCCTCATCAACTCAGACTCCTCTAAGGTACGTGGTTCTGACAGGACCTGAGGGAGAACTTTCTTTCTTAGGTCCACTTCTCTGCTCAGTGGGCAGGTTTCAGTAGCCAACCTACTATTGGCTATTTCAAATTGCAATAGCCAATAGCAGTCTGGCTAGTGCACCTGCCAACTGAGTAGAGGAGCGGACCTGAAAGAGAACTTTCTCTCTCAGTGTCCACTCCTCTGCTCAGTGGGCGGATGCATGGTTACAAGAAAGCCATACTTGATTTTTTTGTCAGTTTTACAAACTCATAGCTGGTTTCAGTTTGAAATATGTAAGTAATTTTAAGTAATGGTAAACTACCTAATGATTGGTGTAGCAATTAGATTTGTATATCAAACTGTTATTAAAAGAGGAGTTACCTTTTAAATATCCTAATTCTCAACTATATACAATACTATACATTAACTCACATATTAACCACAGTTAATACAAACTGTTTGTATAAAGCACTCTCATACAATGGCTGTGTCCCATACACGACGGAAAGAATGAGGTGGTGAAATATCAGCCTCTCATTTCTGTCGTATTTTACGGGAAAGTGAAATCTGGTAAATTGCTGACATAGTTCAAATCATTTTCACTGCACATTCATATTCATAACTCCAACGGCAGGTCTTGTGGTGTGTGTGGGGGTTACAGCAACTGCAGTAATATTTGAGACACGCAA